GCGCCCCCCCCCCCAAAAAAAAAAACCCCAAAAAAAAAAAAAAAAAAAAAAAGAAGAAGAGGCATTCTGAGGCTAGCAGATGGCATGGTGGTCAAGGCACTGGACTCCCACATGGCTAACCATGGTCTGAGTCCCAGACCTGGTAGCTTTCTCACTTCCTTTCTCTCTCTGGTAAGTGTGCATGCCCTATAACAAATTTAATAATAATAATAAATTAAATTTTTAAATAATTCTTAAAAAAGAAAAAAGGGCATTCTACTTCACGGTTCCTCAACTTCTGCTCAAACTAAGATTCTCAGGAGGACGATGACCAGGAAGCTCCAGAGACTTCAGAGACCAGAGATGTCCCTGAAATTCTGTAAGGAGTAGGGGCTATGGAGGACATGGACCAGAAACACTTATCAAAACACTAAAGAAATAAATAAAGACAGCAAAGTAAGAAAATCCAGGGCCATGCAGTGGAGCAGAGGTAATGCAACAAGGCCCACATGGGATAGGTCCTGGGTCAGTGTTCAGAGAACTCCCTGAGCACACAGGGCATGTACCCGTGTGTTTGTGTGATCTGGGCCCGCTGATATAGGGGGTGATCACAGTGAGAAGACCTTGTTGAGGGTGTCTGTCTGTCTGTCTTTCTCTCTCATTGAAAAGATAACCTTTAAAAAAAAAAAAGAAAGAAAATTTATTTCTGGAGAGATTTTTTTTAAAGTTGAATCTAGGAACTTCATAAGCATGGAGTCAAAAACAACCTCATTTCTATGGGTCTAAAATCATCTCTGTGAAATCTGGTTTTCAGAACTGCCCATAATTGCATATAGAAATTAAGAATAAATTGGTTTCTAAAAAATACCCCTAGCTTGTTTTAAGTGGTCTTTCATAATAAGTAACAAACGAGATAGGGGAAACGTTTTAAATCTTACCCAAAGAAAAAAAAGTGGGGAGAACATGTACTTTGAGATGTTACCGAAAGTTTACAACGTAACTGCAGAACTGAAGATACCTTCTGAAATTGATATAAGGAAACCTCCTGATTACCCAAAAGGAGCTTTGGCAACTGGCATGTTGTGCTATTAAGTACTCACTTCCCCCTCTACTTTTGAAAAGATGAAATGATGTGGAGTGAGATGAAATGGACACTGCTGTCCTCTTCATTCGAATCGCATTATTTATACTAAGTACTTGATAAAAGAAGAAACAGTAAACAAATGCTCGGTGTTAAGTATGTCCCTTCAGCAGCCTCGCACACAGTCTGGGATCAACTGCTTTTCCTGCAGTTCTCCTCAGAGAACCCACAGTATCATCAGGCAGGTCCCAGCCCACGAGCACTGACATGCCACACCTTACCTGCTTTACTTGGAACTTCCTCCTCACCTCTGTGGTCTCTACCATCGAACCACACAGGCCACATAACCAGAATCACCTTTATTTTTTATCTCCCAACCCAACAAGGGACACCTCTGACAGTGAAAAGTGGCACTAAAAATAATAAAAACAGGACAATGGCCTACACCAGAATTGTCCTAGGCAACTCGGAATGCACAGCCATTCTGTGCCTTACTCTATACAGTAATGCTAGTTGGAAATCAACAGAGGCAAGGAGAAAAGCAGCAACACTCACTTGCTGTCCCTCGCCTCTTCTGCAATCAAACTTTGGAAGGACTGGACAAATATTATCGGTAGCTGGTGTCCGGTGACCCAGCATGGCTAGAGGCACAGATTCTATCCTTGGCTGACACTCATAAGAGAGGAAAGAGAGAAATTCTAAGGAATGATTAATATGGTCCTCAAGAACATCCAAATGTCTTTGCTTTGATTAAATCAAATATACCGGAAGCAACCATTTGAGCTTATGATCTCATTTTCTTTTCATAGGCCTACAATTTCCTAAACTCTTAAAAGCTAAACCCCAAATAACAGTAGAAACTTTCTAAAATCTGAGGTTTCCAACCCAAATGTCCATGAACAGATGAATGGATTGAAAAAGTATGGCACATATACTCTATGGAACACTATTCAGCCATAAAAGACAACAAAACCCTGGCATTTGATACAAAGTGGATGAATACTGAAGATTTACTGCTGAGTGAAGCAAGCTAGGCTATGAAAGAGAAACATTGTACGGTTCCACTTAATATATACCACTGTCCTACTGTTCATACTCTATGGCAGGAACTGAAAGGTTACAGTATAAAGACTCATAGAAAATGGTTACAGATACTGGAGACAGTATGGGAAGAGAGTGGCAGATGGGGAGAGAGTGAGTAGAAAGGAATCAACAAGAAAAACAGAGGCAAGACATTTAAGGGACACAGAAATGGAGGATTGTCTGTTGATAATGTTCATATCATCTTCAACTGGACTGGTGTGAAGTATATTCATATTGGGTAAACTCATTTTACAAACTGTAGTAATGTACAGTGATTGAATATATAAAATAAACTAAATAATAAAAATAAACAAATGAATGACATTTTTTAAAACCTGAGGTTTCCTCACACTGCAGAGGACTAGTTGAGAGGGAAGGGTTCCTGGTCATCTGGGGTGGCCCTAAGTTTTGATATAAGACTTAATTAATTTTATTTTTATATTATTATTATTTTTCAGTTAACCAGAGAGAAAGAAAGAGTGAGAAAGCAAGCCACCACGCCCAGGACTCAAACCATGAACTGTCATATAAGAGTTTGGCGCCTTAACCACCACACCACCTGCGGGCCCCACTATCTTCCTAGTGTGCAAACCTTGATTACTTTATAGGTTTCAGGTTTCCCAAGATCAATTTTCTTTTCAAACAGAAGTAAACAAGTAGCTCTTCAGTTCTCCCATAAAGCCCTGAGGGACAGGCAGGTGGGGAAGTCTGTATCCCAGCTAAGCCGTGTTCCAGCCACAAGGCCTTAGGCCAGTCAGTCAGAAAAGGAAGACAGAAAGACAGACACGCAGACACACAGGCATCTGCAACCCAAGAAGCTAAGGCTGTCCCTTAACAAGGGACTTCCTTTCACGTCTACATCTACTACCTTTATATTTTACAAAAGAAAGAAGTCCTGGGGATCCCAGGATTCCAGGAGAATCACCTAGTCATCTCACCTTTTAAAGAAAGCTATGGTAGATTGAGACTGGCGCAAGGGCTCTAAGCTGGCAACTGCTCACCCACGTCAGAGCAGTGCGCTGGGGAAACAAAACAGAAAACATACCTATTGCTTCTGGATCGTCCTTCATTTACTGAACTACTGACAAGTAACCTGACCAACTCTGAAAGGAAAGAAGATGAGGAGCTATAGAAAATAACTGGCATTATGTTATTCTTCAAGAACAAATCTTTCCAATTATAGTATAAAATATTTATATATAAAATATATAAACAAGAGTATCCTGTACTGCCCAACACATAAGCACCATAGCTGCAAAGTATTTTATACTTAATAGAAGCAAGATATTTTAGCCATTGGCTGATTTTTTAACATTTGAAGCTATCAATATTTAACCCCCCCTCTCAAAACAGCATGAAAAAAATTAACAATGAATATGCCCTGACCTGTTGTTTATTCTCCTCCTTGTCCTTATGTTAAATATATTATTACCGCAATCTCATCCATGGCTATTTGCATGCGAGATTTTCCATCTTCAGTGGTATTTCTAAGATGTAATTTTTAAAGTCTACCTTCGTAAACCAAGAAAAGAGGGAACCCTACAATTAAATATATAGGCCTTAAGTGTTCAAGATTTTCCAGCAAATAATTTCCAGAATGCGGTGTTTTCAGTAGGTTAACCATCAATAAAAGCGCAAGAGAGGTTCCGTCTTGCAGTGAGAAGAAACAGTAATCAACTAGTTGAAATGTTACAACAAGGGCACAGGAATACATTTTAAAACCGTGCTCTCCCTGCGCTACCCGCACAACGCAAGGCTGAGAGCAAAGCAAAGGTGGGGCGCCCCTTCACCTGTCCTGGCAGCGGCTCGGCGCAGAGGGCAGCAACCCCGGGCAGCGCGGCCCTGGGGCCCGCCAGGACCC